GCAGACACCCAACACCCGCACTGAGCTGGTACCTGAGCTGGTGGAAACTCAACACCTGCAGAGGTTCCCACACACCAGCACTGACTGATATCCAGCACCAACACGGACACCCAACACCCTGGAGACACTTGGCACCAGACGGGACACCCAACACCAAGAGAGCTGCCCAACAGTCCCAGTGCCCAAACACCCACAAGGTACCCAACACCGATGGAGCTACCCAACCACTGCAGTACCCAACAGCCGCCATGCCCAACACCCGCAGAGCTACCCAACACCAGCCACCCAACACCAACCACCCAACATCTTCAGAGCCACCCAACACCCACCGCTACCCAACACAGCATCCAACACCCACCCAATACCCACAGAGCTACTCAACACCCGCAGAGCGACCCAGCCATTGCAGCCCCTAACACCCACAGAGCCACCCAACAGGCGCAGCACCCAGCACCCGCAGGTCTACCCATCTGCAGCACTCAACACCCGCAGTGCCTCAACAGGCGCAGAGCTCCCCAACACCCGCAGAGCTACTCACCACCGCAGAGCCGCCCCGCAGCGGCGGTGCCCGAACACCTGCGCTGACACGGGTGCTCAGCACCCTCCAACACCGGAGCGGAGAGCGGTACCCGGTGCCGCGGTGAACAAGATGCCCCAGGAGCCAACACCAGCCTCCCAACACCGATGCCGGCACCCAGCGCCTGTGCTACCGCAGCAAGTCACCCTGCACAGCCGTCCCCAGGGCCACCCCTGGGGCATGCAGCATCGTGGCCGGGGCACCCATGGGCACATGCAGCGGCTCAGGGGAGCRTCGGGCGGCACTCACAGCGTTCAGCTGCGGCAGGGAGGCGGGCGCCTGTGCAGCCATCCACACGGACGCGGGGACAGGCGGCCGGCGCGGGCCTCGAGGCGCCGCAGTCCTGCCGCCCGCAGCAATGCAGCAAGGCAGACACCTGGCGCCCGCGCGGGGCGGGAGGGCGAGCCCCGTGACGGGGTGACGTCCCCAYGGGGCGGTGCGCCAGCCCCGGCTGACGCAGCCCACGAGCAACCCCGGCACCGAGCTGCTCTCCGACAACACCTCTCCCAGCACCCTGCCACCGCGTCGCCCTTGGGACAGGAGGCTGGCTGCAGTCGGCGGCACCGGCGGAACACAGCCGGGCTCTGGGGACCTCCTCAGCCACCGCTGCCCAATGGCACCACCGGGGTGGCAGCAGCAATGGTGACAATCACGGTGGCATGGCAGGCCACAGCGCCCAGGTGGCTCAGCGGTGCCGCGCGGGGCTGGCAGTGGCTCCCAAAGGGGACAGGGGTGCCCGGAGCCATCGCGGCTCGCAGCACCTCATTGCGCCTGGCAGTCGCAGCYGGGCACCGGCGCTGCAGCCGGGCAGCCCCGCGGCGGGCACGGGAGCCGGGACGAGGTGTCCGGCTGCGGCGGCACCCGGGCCCCCCGCCCCACGGATGTACCGGCCAGGGTTCCCTCCACCGGGGTCCCCTCCGCACCGACCCCATGTCGCTGCTTCTCGTAAAGCAGCCCCGGCGCTCGCCGGCCCCGGCGRCCCCGACGGGGGGAGCGGGCGGCGGGGGGGTGCCAGGTGCCCAGCGGGGGGGTCGGGGCTGCTGGTGCGGGCGGGGCCCGCTCG